GCAGATGAAACAAATCTATATCAATTAACTGTGCAATAGATTTTAGGTCACATCATTTTACTAACTGCAACCAACTAGTGGCTCTACACTGCAGGTTCTAAGTTTTCATAAAAAGAACACACAGTTCTTTTACTGTGCTTGGTGCAAACACACATGAATAATGTTTTTCATCTTTCCTTCAACTCCACAAGGTACTGACCTAGCTTATCCTTTCAAACAATGATAAACAGACTTCATCAGAGAATGGCATTATGGAGACAGTAATTTAAAAAGCTGTAGCTACATGACACGCATCATCAATAAATCAATACACACTATAGAATATACAGGACACACAAATAGGAAGGCATGGTGGGAGGATAGGTTTAAAGGGAAAAAAACATATCATCATCACTAAGGGGGGCGCCAAGAGACAGATGAATCTTGATAGATCCGCTCTGATAGGTCAGAGAGGTGTGAGCCCGGCTCAATGAGTCTCGGCTCCCGGTATCCAGCTATAAATAAGACTGAATGGCCTGCCCTGTCAGCCCTGCACTCAGTGCTGCTAATAGAGTACCTGCCCCTACTCCGCTACGCTAGGCTAGCTGCCGCTCAGTCTGTGGGGATTTCCTCTGCCATGCTCAGTTGTGCAGAGAGCACAGAGGAAGACAAAGTGCCAGAGAGATCCTATGTGTGTGCTGGGTCCCAGCTGGCCAATGTGAGAAGACAGAGTTTCCAGAACAGCGTAGTCCTGCTGGATGCTCAGCAGGATATGAAGACTGCGGTCAGACTGGCCGAAGGGCAGCTGTGGAGGCAGCAGCGAGACCATCTGTGTAGCCTGGTCACTAACTAGCTCAGAGTCACACACGCACGCACACACACATAAGCATACACGCCCACAGCATCAGCTCAACAAGCAGGATGGAAACATGAGATACTATAAAACATGAAGAGAGTGCAGAGGCATGAGAGTCCGTGTGTCCTGAGACGGTGCAGACCTGTGAATACACAGAAGGCTCTGAATGTGAACATGTCTCAGTGTGTTTCATTGTATGAATCAGTGCTAAGAGGCCTGTTGCCTCACAAGAACACAGCCTCTGCTAATAGAGTTATCCATGTGGTCAGCTTGGCTGTCACAATGACTGATTACTGACAATTCAATCTCCCAAAGAAACACAGAGGTGGCTTCTCTGGCGCCTTCCCTTTGCGAATCCTCGCTGTGGAGGTTGGCGGTGTCCTTGGCAACCACGGGGGGGGGGCCCCCCTCAGCCATCCGCAGCTCAGCTGGTGGCGCCGCTGAAATCGAACGACCTTTTCCACCACCGTTTACATGAAGTCATCCTCCTCTCATCACAACAACCAACGCAACGTGGAACGCTGTACCAGTCAGCATAGCCTTCACGTGGCTCAAGCAGTTGTCATTAACTTTCAGTCCAGAAATTAAGCATCAAATTAATTACAAAAAGATAGAGACAACTATTCTATGAATAATATCTCAAAAGCATGTTTCTATGTGGAAATGTGCAAGTAATGACTCGCACTGAGCCACACACACTCCCCAGGGACCCAGCATTTCAAAGAAAAGTCCAGTGTTTCAAGATCAGGTCTTTGCGTATCATCTCCTCCTTGATGTAACTGCCTCTAGCAGAAACACAGCCTGAGGGGGAGGATCTTCAAACCTCCAGGGCCTTGTATCTGCCTTTTGCACCGCCACAATAAACCATTTAACTTTCTTGGATTCCCGAGACCATAGAGCAAGCTGAGGATGAAATCATTCATGCGGTGCAAAGCCCATTGCGAGACACTGTAACTAAAGCTGCATGGCGCGAACATGTTTAAGTTTGGAGAGCCTGCTGTGCGATGTGTGCCAGCTTAATTGTATCTATGACAAAGTGGGATTTGTAACAACCTTTTTCTTTGCTATCTATCTCTATGTATCACTTGCTGATGGACGTAAGGAGGCTTTTCAAAGAGTGACACACTTCTTTGTATCTACATATAAGAAATCAAATGACAACCTTCAGAGAAAGAAAATATGAAACAGCTGACGTGATGGAATTTGTGCATTTACCTAAATTTATGTGCAGGTGCATAAAATGTATGATCCTAAACGAATAGCAGACACATCGGGGGGGAAACGAAGGTCCGGCTTGGCTTGCATCCAACATTTTGGATCAACAAGCTTACCACCTGTGCTCTGCCTCTCCTCATCCCCACCTGCTGATTTTACTGCTGATGTTGATAAAGAAAATGGAGACAGACAGAGCCCTCCCTCCAGCAGGGGTCTGATCCAGCAGATAAGAGTGTCTGAAAAATGTGTGGACGCCACTGCTGCCTCACACAAGCCAGCCAGCTTGCAACTGCATTGGATGTTGTGTAATTCATTAGTTTGCCGTAAGAAGGCTTATCCTCCGATCCATCCCCGTTCTAAAAACAGATGGGGCAGGGGTAGATTGGAAGCTGTCCGAATTCTGGGGTCAAGGGAAATTTTAGAAGCTAACCTGGAACACATGTATATATATGTATCAGCTGTTTTCGGAAAGCTTGTGCTGTAACTGGAGGCCTGGCACAGCTTAAATTACAGATGCTGGTTAGATAGAAAAACACAGCAGCAGCAGCAGCAGAGCTACAAAAGAAAGGGTCAGGCTGAGAAAAAGACACATAATACAATGTTTACAATGTTCCCATGGCTATAAATTTTTCAAAAAACACACAATCTGTGTTTGCTATACATGTTTGGTATGATGTGACTAAATGGAAACAGCAAAATGAGACAAGGGTGTGCTGTTGACAAAGGTATTAGGGATTTCCAATTATGAGGAGAAGTCACAGTAAACATCCACGCAGGTTACGTTTTCCCCTGCAGGGCTGGCAAACCAACAGACACAGTAGTGCTGAGGTGAAAGTGAACACAACGCAGACTGACTGTCAGCACAGTGGCTTAATTACTGTCTCCGTCTCTCCAGTGAGTGTTATTCCCTGACATTCATCCCTGCCGTTGCTGCAAGAAATCCTCTTCTACACAAGAGCATTTCCCACTTTTTATGTACTCTGTAATCCCTGTAATACATCAAATGTAAATTGTAATCCAAGCTGTAAAGCACCTTAACAGTGTCATTTCAACTGACATACTTTTCTTTCTTTCTTTTTTTACATCATCCACTTACAGCGTTGATGCAATTGGAAGTACAGAATTGTTGCATTATGCTGCTTTTGTTTCCACTCCAGTGACTTTGTTTGAACTTCTCTGAGTGGAATCCCACCAAAGAATATAAGAACATCTGATAGCTTCGAAACAAGTTGTTGTAATAAAGCACATTTTAAAGGATTCAACGTTTCAGTGGGGGCTAGCTATCATAGTCGGGAAAGACCAGATGAAGAGGTTTCCTGCAGATTTGAAGACCTTAGGGGACAACGTGTGGATTAATAAACAACTTTTGACCCTCCCATTAGTTAAGCGGTAGGTTTTTTTTGGTGTAATAATCAACCAGGAGCAGAGCGATTACAACAATGTGGCCACAAACCTTACACTATCCACTATCTCCTGAAAGACTGACTGACAGATCAGCCAATAGAAAGCTAACAATCTCTTACTAGTTTGTTATCTATTGGCTTTTCCAGTCGTCGGTAATAATGTTGTGAGTGACAACAACATGCTGGTTGTCGCTTGTTGTGTAAGCTTCACTCAACCTTTGTGACCACATGACTCTGTTTAGGGAACTGTGGGAGACAAAAAAAAAAAAAAAAAACTCTTGAATTTAACACCACTAGCATTAAACTTTAACACGTGTAATTTCACACCATTAAATGCCAGGATTAACGCTTTAATAGACAGACAGTATGTAAGAAGTGCTCAACGCAGAGGTCACGATGACCTTCTCCTACTTCATTGTATTATTCAATGTCCTGTAATTAAAATGATTGTAATTCCCTCCATGTTCTTGGTGGTTTCACTGTGATCCAGCAGAACATAGCGTACACACACACACATCCATAGATGACTATTTATAGTAAGGGGGAAACACCTGATGCCCACTCTGTTACACTTCCCCACCTGTGTGACCTTCGCATGCTCACCGGTGGCAATGTCATCCATCATGTACCCTGTGAATGTTCGACCACCTGCAGCTACATCATTGTGACTGATCTGCTTGATAATGACTGATCTGAGGAGTCTAGACTGTTTGGAAAAATGTGCAAAAATAAATAAATAAATAATAACGCATGCCCTGACACCACTGAGAGATGGAAAAAAAAACACACACACAGCTCTGGGCCTTTTCAGCTAAAGGTTTCCTGCTCATGAAATCTCAGCAGAAGATAATAGAATTATCTCTAAAAAATAAATAAATAAATAAATTGTGGGAAAGAAAAAAAAATGGAGGTCGAACTTGTGTTTTATTGTACACAACAAGTTAGAAATGTAATCCTTGTTTTTCAGAGCATCCCATCGTCACTAAGATAACGCTGTGAAATGTGTCTGCAACAGTATTTTAAAGCCATAAAGCTACACGGCTAACATTTCTTTACTTGTTGTAGCTCGCAGCATCGTGACAGGCCTCGCTTTACTGTATCTGCCTGGCAGCTGTGTTTAATATTTAGCGAGTACACAATGTGACAGAAAACAGGGAAGATTTACCAAAGCGACAAAATGAAACAGAACTAGCTCCGGTGTGAACACAGGCGTTGTGTCGCATCAGTGTTTGAGAGCAGCGAGCAGCAGCAGCAGCAGCAGCAGCAGCAGCGGTGAACTCAATTCAATTCAACTGCAGTTTTTCTAACTATAACCGCTTCGTTCGCTCTCACTCATCCAACCGGCTCGAATTGCTGGCGAACATGAGGCTTTAATTAGTCGGTGAAAGCTTCTAAGCGTCCGTCTGACACACGGCTGGACAGCAACCACGAACAGGTTTGGGGAAATCCAGCGAGCGGAGATAATCTCCTGTGGCATCGGGGCACATCTGTAAGCGCTCACAACGGTTGGAGCTGCTACGGCGAAAACGCGGTTTGTAAAGACTCACCTCGTCGGTGAAATAAGTGTCCGCTGGGCTCCAGTCAATTCCTCGCTGGGTTTAAACGTTGAATTACGGCGGCTAAACGTATTTCTAAGTAAACAATACACGCCGCGCTGCCTGCCTGCCTCCCGCTTCCTCTGCCTCAACTAGTATTTCGCTGTGAGTCTGGGCGGAACTACACGCTGCGGCGCAGACACCGCGGAGGAGCCAATGGGAGGCGGACCGGCGCACAGACAGCAGCTGAGCAGGAGGTCTCACTCCGCTGCGAATATCGAAGACGACTACAGGACACGGGGGGTATTGTTGTTATTATCCATCCATCCATTATCTATACATCGCTTAATCCTCACGAGGGTCGCGGGGGAGCTGGAGCCTATCCCAGTCGTATTATTATTATTATTATTATTATTATTATTATATCACAGTGATGGACATTTAGACAGGAGCCAAGCGGGAGGTCGCACTCCGCTGCGAATATTCAAGACGACTCTCTTGATCACAAGGCATTGCTATTATAATTATCAGCATCATTATTATTATTATTATTATCTCATAGTAGTAGACGTTGACAGGAGCCGAGGTCTCACTCCGCTGCAAATTTTCAAGACGATTCTCCTGATCACAAAGCACAGGGGGGCAATTATTATTATCAGGAGTAGGATTAGTATTATCTTACAGTGGGGGGAATTTGCATTGTGACAGCAGCAAAGGGTCGGTTCAAATATATATATGTTAATGTACTTAAGTTGTCCAACTTCCTCTGGATGTGGAAATAACAACATTGCACATATCAACAGGATTGCACAGATTTTTTTATAGTTAAAAATACTGATAAAGAAGAATTAATATTGTATAGGTTTGACTTCTATGTATAATATTGTGAGTGTAATGTGCATTTTCATGTCATTTTCAGGTACAATGTTTCACTATTACTGTATGTGTGACATTACTTATTAGCTCAGTATAATAGCCAACATTACCTTTTACTGTTCTATTCTAGCCTTATTTTAACGTACTTGTTTATTACAGTGTTGTTTTGTACTATCATCTTATTGCTTTTCTATTTTTAGGCACTGAATTTATTATTGTATTTCATTTTGCTTTTTCTGGGCAACATCTGGCACATGGAATTCCTTTGGGATTAATAATGGTTTATCTTATCTTATCTTATCTTATCTTATCTTATCTTATCTTATCTTATCTTATCTTATCTTATCTTATCTTATCTTGTCTTATCTTATCTTATCTTATCTTTTCTTAGATTTGTCTGTCAGTAGAAAAATACTGATGTTGCACAGATCCTAGTATATGTTGACAAACTGATATTGCACAAAATGTTTAAAAGTACAAAATATTCATAATTCACAATTTTGAATGTGTTGACATTTCACCAAAATGAAGTCTGATAGCTTTTTGGTGTGTGGCCTACTGGGAGCAGTGCTGGTTGGAGAGTCTGACAGCAACATGAAGGACTAGTATTATGTTAAATTTCCGTAATCAACATTGGTTTAGATCATAACTATGATGGAACTATATTTGTCTATATTTCGCTGGTTTCACTATATTCTACTGCTGACAAATGTATGTGTATGGATTTTTGTGGTATTTCATATATGAACTGTGTGATCTCTTCTGTGAAGGTTTGCGTCTCATCCACTCTTGTTTGTATGAGGCCAGCTTTAATCTGACACCCTTGAGTCCACGGGAGGTCTTCCCCTGAAGAATCACACAAATAATTCAGTGTAGGCTTTAGAATGCTTTGTTAGTGGAACAGTTAGATAAAACTAGGAGAGACATTTTCACAGTTTTACTTTCTGCTCAAAGGTATACGAGAGACAAACCTCCCCATAAGAGTGAGCGTGACTTTAAACCTTCGGCTCTTATCTTTACAAGACAAATGTCCCCATAAGCGTAGCATGGTTTATTGCAATAAATAACTCTGATGGATATTTGCTCTTTGTGAATTTACTTTTTGTAGAATTACCACGACAGCAACTCTCAGAAATTCATTAATTTTTTGGATTTTAACCTTTTAAGTGCCAGTTTGTTTAAGTGATGTCACTGTTGATTTTATTAAAAAACAAAAATTCAAGCAAAAGTTTTTTTTTTTATCTTATTATTATTATCAAGCCTGGGAAGTGTTAATAATTAGCAGCAACATAAATTCTAAAGCATTATTATTTTTGTACAGTATCAGATTTTTTTTTTTGCCAGAAAAATATCACATATTAACATATTAACATTGATCATTTGTACCAGACGAAAAAGATGAACATGCTGACTAGAAACTGTACAAGCTCAGGTCAGGTCAAGTAGTTGAATTCAGATATTTTTTTTCTTATATATAAAGGTTATATCAATTTATTTTTTCTCAGATTAAATCAAACTTTATTTATATAGCACTTCTCATACAAAAAAAGCAACACATCCTTAGGAATTGATTTAAAAACAGTTACACAGAGGTCCTTAAAGACAAAAATGTAAAAACAAACGAGCAAAAAAAAAAATCCACAAAAATATTATATATTACCATTATTATTTTCTACTTTGGCTAAGTTAGATTTTTTTTTTTAATTCTTTTTTTTAATCAACACCAGTCATAATCTTACATATCAAATACTTGTTAATTGTCAGGACTTTAACCCTCCAAATAGTCTGTTTATGTTTTTATTGGGGGGGAAACACAAAAATTCATCATTTCAATATTTAAGTGATAAGAGAATTATTATTATTATTTGTAGTAGTAATATAGTCTGAGACTTATCAGTGTTTAGCAACAGTATTAATGATGATTTACTGTTTTTGTACAGTCTCATACTTAAAAAAAAACTCACACTTCAGACTTAAAGACAAAAATGACCTCATCAAGAAAAAAGCTATATAATTTATATTATATTTAATATGAACATAGACCACCTTTTCTTATAGAACAGCAGATGAACTTGCTGGCTCCACACTGTGCGAGCTGTTCGTGGGCAAAATATATTATTTTTGTTGCTCTGTCACCACATGATGCTGGCTCAAATTTTGGAGCTTAACTGATTACAGTTCCCATCAAGTCTCCATTTTCAATCTGATTATATAACCACCCAAATCGGCTATGCCATAAAAAATATTACAAAGTACGCATGCAATCCCTTTTTTCCCGGAAAAGTCCAATTCATTCATACAGCTTTTCGAACTGCAGCTTCCCGGCGTTCTGTTTTTGGCTCATGAGTAGCTCCGGCTTACAGTTGGAGGTTGAATGCCTTGTTCGGGGGTACGTCAGCAGAAAAAGCATTTAGAATGATTTTCTGCATTCTGCATATTGCTGCCCCTAATTTCAATCTGGTTGTGTAAGGGCACAAATCAGCTGTGAAGAAAACATGTTACATCAAACCCTGAACGGTCCAACCTTTGACTTCACTAGTGGGGTGAACAGAAAGAGACGGACGACTCTTGTTCAAATACTCAGCACCTCAGAGACACTCATAGTGATTAATAACAATGATAGTTTATTTATGTACCAGGAAATCTGTTTGCATTGTCTTGGACATTTTCCCTGCTTCTAAGCCAGACACTTACAGTACAGTAGCATACAATATCTGTATTTGGAGAACATTGTCAATAAAGAAGAACACATTTTTGAATGACATATTTACAAACAACCAAAACACTGTAAATAAACAGATGAAACGGAATAAAGGAGAGAAAAAAAAACATAAATTTACAGGTTTTTATAAGTAATATTTGTCACTGACACAAGATGCTAGGTTAAGAAGAGACAAGTCCACATTACAGTATTCAGTGAATCATAGGTCAAATGCTACAGCAACAACAATGCAAAGAGTAAATTGAAGTAAGGGATGCAGTAACTGAAAAACACAGAACAAACTGATATAATTGGTATACTGATGAGCAGACGGTTAGGAAAGAAGCATTTCAGCTTAAGACAAAACAGAAATCACGTGTTATCATCTCTAAAGCTGAAAATAAGACACCTTTGATACCAGACAAAAATAACTTCACAGTGTAGTGGAGAACAAATCCTTGAGTAGGTCAAAAACAGAACAGACTATTTGTAGAGACTGCTTGCACAGCACTGTTACATACTGGAGGCCTTTAAGTTACCGTCTGTCCACAGATTTGCAACAAGAACTTTAACACAGTATGGTACGACAGATGAGCAAAACTGAACTTTGGGACACTGTTGATGGAAAAAATAATGATCATTTGAAAATGTGTTCAAGAAACTATTGCAAAGAGTGTAGGTTCAGGAACTCGACTGCAGTTTGAATATAAAGCTTCTGCATTTAAAGCACTGTGTACTGAGAGAGACAGGGCAACCTTAAGCAGTAGCTCAGACAAAAGGCATTCATAAGGTTTAGAGTTGCATGGGAACCACAGAAGTGTAATCTGGTCCTAAGGATCTTCTCCTGCATTTACGAGGTTACTTTTTGTGTTTAATCCTGATTTAAGATGCTCACGTTCCATACATGTTCATATAAATATTCATATATGACATTGGCTGGCTGCGGCATCGGATTCCACCGCACAGAGCCTTTTAAAAATGAGAAACAGCAGCAGAGGTCGGGTCAGAGTGAATGTGCTGAACCATCTAAGTCTTGAACTTAATAATGTTATCTTTGCAGCCACAGACCAGTGAGCTTCCTCCACTGCACTGCTCCTGCATGCTGTGTGGTGACTGAACCTGCTGCCGTTCTCTGGCGCCCTCATGTGGAGCTGTACAGAGAGATCTGCTGCACCTTGCCCAGCTGTGTCAGCAGCCGTTTCATGCGGTGTTTGAGCTGAGGCAGACGAGCCAGAGGTTCAGGAGGCTCCAGCTCCCCAGTGTAGTCCAGCCAGCTCTCCAGCACTGAGGAGGACATGACAGGGAAGAAGCAGAGGTGACTGGTTTGTTTCAGCCCACATAGACTACCTTAGCTTTCAAGCACTCAGCATCATAGTCTCTTGAACATGACTGATATTAAGGTTGCGGCAGTATTTCATGCATCATCAAAGCAACTGTCTTTGCATTCAGTTTTCGACACTGACTGACAGTGAACCTGCACACAGAGGCCCAAACTGCTCAGTTCAAACCTCAGTAGGTGGTCAACTGGTCAAAACTTAAACTACCTGGATGGAAATAACTTAAAATAATGTCAGTAACTTGAAACAATTTGCTGCTAACATAAGCTAACTTTATAGACTGATTGGACAGAAAGCAGACAATCTTTAGTAATTCAGAGGCCTTACCGTCCAATTCCCTCTCAATGAAGTCCATCCTGTGCGAAACGTCGTCCTGGACTGCATCTATGTGATCCAGCAGGTTGATCTGCCACTGCTGATGCTGCCTGCTGTGATCTGCAGCCTCTCCAGGGTCCCTGCCACCCTCGTCCCTGTTCTCAGCCTGAGACCACGAGCCACCCATCGAAGCCTGGAGATGTTCAGGTAAAATTAGATGTACCTTACAAACAACTTTAGGCTTCAGTGTACAACGGCATTATAGTAGCTTGTTTTATAATATTTCTGCTCATGAGATTCAGTCATCATGTTGGTGATAGTTTAAGCTACATCATCAACTAAAAGGGATGTCTATCTAAAGACTGTTGTTCAAATCCTTAAATGACTTGAGCAACTCAAATCTAATGACCACTTGAGAGGTTGATTGATTTGACGAAAGCTGATGTTATTTTTAAGCAACAAGTTCAGATGGGATTTTACTATTAATGAAATAAGCCCCAACCTTGTTGCTGATGCCTGTAGATTTGGGCTTGTCCGTCTCCAGCAGGCTCCCGTAGCGCTGCTCCCGTTCCAGCAGCTCCTCTGTGCTTCTCATGCTGTCCTCCAGCTCAGACCCCTGTCGAGTCTCCACCACCAGTCGCTGCTCCACTGCCGGGTAATATGCCCGTGGTTTCTGGTAGCAGTGTTCACTGGTAATGTATGAGTCCTGGAAGGATGGGAAGGGGGACGAGGAGCAGGACGAAGAGGACGTGGCAGCTGTAGCGGCCCGGCTCAGCCTCTCCAGAGCGTTGGACATTAAAATCTCTCCTCGACTCATGTCCTCATCAGGAGTCACAGGAGATGGAGCTGCAGTGCTGCCCCGACATGACTCAAAGCCAATCTGTGACCTCTCTAAATGCTTCCAGGGCTGCCGCCACAGCTGCAGATCAGGGTGGGTGTTGTTCCTGAAAAACCAGAGGAAAGAACCAAACACTGAGTAAACGTGATTTGGAACCTAAATACGGCTGAGTTGGTTTCATATGAAGTATTCTGTCTAACAATGACTCTAATCACAATCTGAATTTTACTTCAACAGGGACACAGCCCAGTACTGAGCTCCTATGTACGTACTGTAAGACGCTCATTTTGAGCTGTAGTCCGTTGAGGATCTCTGCCACGTGGTGCACATCTCCCAGCAGCTGGTGGGTGGTGGTGATCTTCTTGGCGTTTTGGTGAGAGTAGTTCTCTTCCAGGAAAGAGAGGCCATACATGTGACCATTGCTCAACCACTCGCGGTCGTACCAATAACGCAGACTCTGCCTCTGACCTGGGGGTGATAAAATTAAATGTTATCCAATGCAACGGGTTGTTAAGAAAAAGCACATAAAAGATTCTGAGTGGCAATAATATGTGAATCTGTGAGGAGATCAAGAGTCTCTCTGCATGAGCTGTACTGTGTCTGCTTGTTGTTCTTGAGAATAACAGTCATACATCCCAACTACACAACAAAAAAGGCTCAAATGTGAAGACATTAAGTCAACGCAATAGACCTGTTCTATGGCGACGTGTTACACAAGCACACCAGTTCACTCCTCCACCTTGGGAGTGGTAGCACACTGTCTCTTCAGTCATTCTATTGACTTTAGCTAAACACAGCACAGTGCAGTCTTTCACCTCTGTAATTCCACAATTAATGTGGACATACTAGTCAGGTCCCTAAAAGCCTGTTTAATTGAGTTCTCATTAAAGCTAAAAAACAATGGCCACCAATGTTCAGGTCAGGGTACAGTACGTACAGCTCATTAGTTTTAATTTAATTAGGGCTAAAAGCAATCTGCAGCACAGAGATAGTGTATTTAGCTGTTTCATGATGTTGAGGCACTCTGAGTTTTAAATGAAGTATAATTAATGGCTGTACTCTTCCGATTTTTCTTGTCACTTTCTATAACAACTGTAACAGCACAGTCCTTGTGGGTTTGATCTCCAGTGGCAACCAGATGGTCTACAGGAAGAAGGTGACCGTCCTAGAACAGTGCTGTCATGACAACTGCCTCCACTTGAGCGTCTCCAAGACACTCATGAAGAAGTGGTTGTCTTGACTCAGTCACTATCAGCAGCACAGTGCTGGAACAATTAAAACCTGGGAGTTCACATTCACAGGGAGCTGACATGGGCTAGCCACACCACCACTGTATTAACAAGGGTCTGCAGTGTCTGTACAGCCTCAGGTGCTTCAATATCTTTTGGCCTCAGGCCCCAAATTGTCAGGGACTTCAACAGAGGCACGAGAGAGCCTTCTGACAGTCCAGGTACAGCAATTGAACCAGCATGTACTGCACGGTCCTCGGGAGGTTGGTGTATATAGCACAGCCCATCAGTGGGTGCAATTTGCCTGGCCTGCAGGAGTTGTTCACCCAGTGGTGCCTCAAGAGGTCACTGAGAGTCACAAAGGACACAACACACCCACACAACAGCCTGTTCTCCCTGATGCCCTCTAGTACAAGATACAGAATTCACAAATCACACAGCAGCAGACCGAAGAACTGTTTTTTCCTTGAGCCATAAATCAACTGACTTAGTAAGACACACACACACCACATTCAAACACTACCACAACTAATACACCCTCTTTGCAATATTCAAAAGAAATGGCTTTGTGTACCCCTTTACTATTTAACCATTATTTTGTTTGTGTGTCTGTAATGCTATCTCCCGGCCTGAGCATGTCACACAATTGTACTTGTATAACTAGAATAACAGTAAACATCTTGACTCTTAAACTGGAAGTATACTTTGGGATACCCTTGCCATAGAGAGACACAGTTGACTGTAGCCAGTGGTAAATCATGTAGCCTAATTTAAAAAAAAAAAAAAATTTTAAATGTTGGTATTCTTACACAAAATTGGTAAAATTAGTTACTGAGGTGTTGCAGATTAGAATCACAAGTTCAAGCACCATAACTACATAACACACTGTCTAATAATTACTTAATGCCATAGTTAAATGGAATGCAATCATATCTTTAGCAATTTCAGTACCAGGAGGATGATAACGATAACAATAAATAAATCTTGGATGAAGTTTGGATTTGAGGGGATACATTTCTGGAATCGGTCCTGAGTGCAGGATAAGCAATGAAGGAAAATTAAAGGTATTAGCTACTAAAACATAATGAAAAACTATTTTAACACATATATAGCATGCAACAAGAGATAAATAAAAAATCTACACATGGACACAGAATTAGACCCTGGAAAAGAGATTTTTAATGTAAATGAAGACTTCAAAAATATACTTTTCTATGAAAATCATCACAGTCTGTGCTCAAATTCAGACCGTCATTGTTCTTGTTGTCCACTAGATGGCAGGTGATACTTTTTCAAATGAGAAGAGCAGCACACTGATCTGTACCAAATTAGCGAAGCATAAGTTCTTCAATGTCATCAAAAGCAAGTGAAGAGTCATAGCTGAAGGTAGTGCTCTTACACTTCTCACCTGGTGGGTCTCTGCAGATGTAGCAGGTGTATCTGTCTGGAACATTGTCCTCCAGCAAGCCCATGCAGGTGCCATGCTGCCAGCACAAACAGTCTTCACACTAACAAAAGAACAAACATGTTTCAAAATTGTGCAACAACCCCAAGATTAAATCCCTTACAACGGATAAATCCTAAAATGAAACAAGAACACCTGGCTCACCTGAATCATAAAGTCATTCTCCTCCTCCACCTCACAGATACATCGCACAATCTCTTGGTCATTGGTATCCACAGCACCAGAGTCCACGCTCAGAGGTGGCGTAGTGACGTCCAAATCCACCTCAAAATCATCATCGCTCCACCCACAGCTGTCAGTGGACCAGTCACTGATGCTATCCTCATCTACAGCAGCAGGGACAACAGAACAATCGGGTTTTTATGTGAGTGAAACAAGTTATCAGGACTTAAGTTTTCCGTGGGTGATTCAGTTAAGTCTGAATAAATGTTATGCACAATTAATATTTTTTAATTCTACAAAATGTATTGTCGATGAGAGCTTTAATGAAAATTTGTGGATTGCATGATGAAGCAAGCCATAGCAGCAGAGAACAGCTCAGGATTCAATCAATCATGGGGTGAAATTTGGTCTTTTGTGTTGGGAGCAACATTTGTAAACAGGTAACCAGGTGTGGTGCAAAGTAAACAACATTTAGCAGCATGATTGATTGAATCCAAAGGGAACAGAAGAATGTAGGGCGAGGAAGCTATGAACAGTCACACACAAAAACTAAAATATGCACACACACACACACACCATCAGAGATACCCACCATCCACATGAATCTGCTCTGAGTAGCTGTATCCAGGCCTGCAGGGGTAGGCCTCAGGCTTGTGATTGTGTGAGGGGGGGGTTTTGATTGGCAAATTCAATTTGGACTGAAGACCCAATACTGAGATGTCAATATTCTCCTCACTACCTGTGTAGTCTGTTAATACAGGGAAGGGGGGAAGCAGATGTAGAACAAAAATGTCAGCTTTTAAAATGCTAAACAAATGCCGAACAGGAGGTGACAAAATGTGGGACAACAAACATCATGGATAAATGATATACTGAAGAACAATTAGGGAAAATAAATGCATGCCGCCAACACCTCAGGCCTTTGAACTCTGTGAAATAACCAATCAGTGGACGGCAGCCTGTATATAGATCTGTGTTCATGCCAAATATACCAGTGTGAATGCCAACTAGAAATAACAACAGTTTAGGATTTGTGTTTGGATCAGTCAATATCAGTGCAACAGTATAATCCGGCTTTTCAACACCAGTATGGACACATAAAAGAGTAAAAGCAAGCTATGAGTCATAGAAATAAGAGAAATAAATTGGAGCTTTTTGATTGGCGTAATGGAGTGACAGAGGCCAGCAACAAATGTTACACTTCTCCCACACACAGAGACTCAGCCACCACACCAAGAGGAGTGAATGGAGCACTTTATGCTTTGCAGGCGAGCCATTCCCACAATGTCACAGTGAGTGCACATGCAGAGCAGCAGATATGTGATCTGACCCCATGCCAGGGTCCTGCTTCTTACCAGACTTGGCCTTCTTTTTTTTCTTCTTCTTCTTTAGTTTAATGCGGAGGAAGTCCTTCTGTTTTGGTTTCTCTTTCAGTTTGTCTTTTACTGACCCTGAGGACCATGAAGTGACAAGAGTTAAGCCCAGTGTGAGTACACCTAACACTACAGGTTTCTATTCTAGAAACATAACCGTATTGTACAAAGCAAAACTATCAGTGAATGACTCAGTAAAAAACATCTTTTCACTGCATCATACTGACCAATGTCAAAGCCACACTTGTCTGAGTCCTTGTCCTGCAGCTGGCATCCGTTCCTGTCCAGCTGGTTCTCCTTGCTCTTTTCCCTCAGCAGTGCCCTCTGCTGATTGCCCTGGGTGTTGACTGCAGGCGGGGCTGATGTTCGCCTGCCTGCAGTCTTCACCTCACCACGGGGAGCCGCGGCAGCTCCAACAGAGTCTGAGAAAAATCAAATGGCAAGTATAAGCCCAAATCCCTAATCTTGAACCTTTACTGGGAGCGTAATGCATCAGACGGTGCTTAGTATGTGATCACAGCATGTCATGATTCCAAATTTATGATTTCACTGTCCAAAGCAAAGCATTTGGTTTCAGCACTGTAGAAATAGCAGCTGACCCAGTTTATCTGATAAACCTTCCTCTTGTCACTTCAATTGGGACAAAAGTGGAACTGGAGCAGAACTCACGCATAGAGGCAGAGATGGTGCGTCTTCTCTTCGTGCCGTCCATACCAGTAGCAGTGGACTGTTTCTCAGAGGCCCTGGTCTGGACACTCCTGGTGGGGCTACGCTCCCCCTCTGGAGGCTGCTCCTCACCATGATAATATTTCATATGGTAATGCAGCAGCTTGGCTTTACGGAATGACTTTGTGCAGCCAGGAGCGCTGCACTTGAATGGGTTGTGGTCGAGGTTGATGGACAGGACAGGAGGAGGTTGGTTTTTGATAACTCTGTACACTAAAACAGGGAAAATAGAATAGACAGGGGTAAAGAAAGCGCATTAAAGAATCCAAGTGATGAGTGTATTCGTCTATAAAGTGTTGAGTGGCACTCACGCGGTTCTCTGCTGAATCTGTTGGGGTTGTGGAAACCCTGCTTCCTTACCGCTATCAAAAATAATATAAACACATAAATGTATTAGGTCGTAGAAATACATCTACATGCTATGTGACATTTAGTGAACTCAGTTATTCATTTTCACAACCCTTCAGATCCAATGACATTTCTCTGCTAATTAACTTCATTAACACTTACGTTTCACAGGTTGGGGGGGCGGGACGTCTGCTGCAGGCTGAGTGCTTTCTGATTGGACATTTGGTTTCTGCTGCACACCTCCGTTGGATTCTGTGGTTGTCATAGTGACAGACACCTGCTCTGTCGCCGTCGACGTCTGAGTGGGCAACTCAGTGTATGGCTTGGGTGACTCTTTATATGGCTTTGTTCCACTCTGTTCCGTTTCCACCTCTTCCTTCTTCACCTCTCCATTTATGTGACACATTTCCTTGTTTTGCTCATCGTCTTCTTCAACCTTTACTCCATTTGTGAGTCCTGTCCCTTTTTCTACATCCCTGGGCTTGTTCTGGTCTGCTTGCTCCGATATTTCCTCCTCCTGTTTGATACTGGGTGCAGCCTGTAGCTCACCATTTGTTTTCTTGTTTTTCTCATTGACCATCCTCTCTTCCCGCTCCTCGTCCTCACTGTTGCTGTCGTCTTCCTGGTCAGAAGTGCTGCGTCTGGCTCGCTTGTTTTTGGGACCTCCGTTCTCCTGAGGCCTTCTGTCTCTGCGGTTTGGGACCCTCCTAACCATGTTCCTTTCAGAGGACCGACACCTCCCTCCACCAACACCACCTCTCTGTCAGCAGGATAAAGAGGAAGCTCAGAAAACCAGTTGAAAATGTGTACTCAAGAAATTACTGACAAAGGCCAGAAAAAACACAGAGATAATTCAACTGAATGTGGATATTTTGATCACTAATCTACACATACCTCTTTAATAAAAGGCTTCACATGTATCCCCTTCACTGTCTGGATGACACCATCATAAAACTTTACAGTGTAGGATGCTGAAGGAAATAAAAGAGAACAAAACCATGCAAACCACATTTTACACACAATCACACGAAAGAATTTTGAGGTTGCAAAGCTTCAGTTTCTACCATTAATTCGAGATATTCCCCTATTTATAGCTCAGACAGATCTGTTTTCATTGTTTTGCTGTGCTTTGCCAGTGAAGGAGAAAGTTACTTCCTCTCACTGAATGCCACTCAATACCAGTTTCCTTTTTGAAAACAAAAGCTTGAAACGCTCCATATTGTACAATCTTGCACAAAAACCTCACAGCTTAAAAAAATTTTGAGAAAAACTACAGTGCCATACATCTAAACATCTGAAGGTAGTCAGAACTCATTACCAATAATAAACTCCTGAAATTATTCATACCCACCATCTTTATTGACAGAAAGGACCTTAGCAGGGTAGAAACGGCAGTCAGACCAGCTGGCCAGGACCTTGTCATTCACGTGAAAGCCCTGCAGGAAAGGGGCATTTGATGTAGTATACAAAATCTAATGGGAGGTGGAGCTCTTAAATGAAAGCCATCATTGTTGGTATATCATGATGAAAACTACACAGAGCTCAAATTTTACTTGCAAGTAAAAGTAGCAGATATGATTTATATTATGCAAATAAAACCCAAGTATCACATATCAGTCCCGTCCCGTAGTTACAGGAGAAATATACTGTGGTATAAAGGCCGGAGAACACAAGATATCCTAGAAATGGGGGAGAACTTTCAATTCCTCTATGTACTACTGTACAAAGTGAGCATGAACAACATTTTTAGCTTACAGGTACAGGACCGTCGTCATTCAGTCCCTGCCGCCTCAGTTGAATTCTCTCTACGGGTCTCAGGTAGGGGCTTGTCCAGTCAAACCACTCGTCGTAGCGATGGCTCCACTGTCGGTAATGGATTAATACTTTTTCATCTTCGTAGTCAATCTTCTCTATGTTGGCAGCATACCTACACGAGAAAATGGAATACTGTGTGACTGGGAAGTGAGAAAGAACGGTAATTCTACATGTTCCTTTTCTTCTCTGTCAAACATATGGTGGGGGTGGCAAGCCAATAGAAATGAATCAAGCTTGAAAATGCAAATGGACAGAATGACAAAGAACCAAAAGACACTGCTTTATTTAGAGGACAACATGCAGAGCATTAACACATCACTTTATCATTATAATTTTATATTGATTACACCTTTAGTGCTAAATTACAGTCACAAAATCTATAGTAACGGTCTGCTAGTCTGACATTCTTGCAATTGGAAGACCAATACCAATTGTGTTTCTATACACGTGTAGAGGAAGGAAAGGGAAAATAATATGTAAAAACTTGCACTGTCCTATTCGAAAATGCTGCTCCTATTGTCCTTGTAACAAACATCAATGTCAGATAGTTTAGGTTGAAAAAAAAAATCTTTTCGCAATGACTTCTTTATTTTATCTTGTGTTTACTGGAACCATTACAATGATTTACAACATGATTCGAGAGTCACTGGTCATTTTTTGCTGTCCGTCAGTATTAATCTGGGTCAAAGTTGAATTTGGTGGATACTTGAGAGCGCACACCCATCAACTAGCTGCTGTGTACTGGCAGAGGAATGGTGATGCAATGAAAGGTCTGACTAGTTTAATTCACTCTTTTCTAACTACAACTAAATCAAACCCAGAAAGGAGGCAATAACAACTTCTGAGTAAGTGAAGGAAGTGAACAGTAACATGGATGGAAATGAATGAGTGAGGCCATGACTCACCAGTTTTTGAGGCTGTCTCTAGCCTCAAGCTGAGCTCCCACCTCAAATGTTATCCCTCTTCTGTTAGGGGGCGTCTTACTCATACTGCCCACATCAAGGCTCCCTTCCTGTACATACGGACACACACATTAACCAATAAACATGAAGCTAAACTTATATTATCTTGCTTGCGCTACTAAGAGACACATATTATGTCTAAGAAAGAACACAATACGCATGACTATCAAGGTCTTTACAGACAACATTGCAGTCAGCTCTGTGTGTCTCAGGTCATCACTAACAATGATTTCACCAGAAGACTCTGGGAACAAAAAAAGAAAATCAGCTTTCAGCCTCAGCAGCAATTTTAGCATTGAAAAGCAAGTAAGACACCCCCTTTATGCCAGCAGAATAATAATGCTGTCCAGGCTGAGAAAAAATAATGTCACTGTAAACATACACAAGCTACTGATTACGCATGTTGTAACATGGAGCAGCAACGTGTACAGATAGTGGAAACTGGCATATTAAGGTGAGCCATGCCCCTCAAATGGTGGTGAATATGTAGCCGATACCGGATGTTCAGCAATCTCTAGTTAAAGGAGCATGGGCGTCTACAAATGACCTCACAGGTTCTCACAAGAGTCTTAATAAAATTACCAACATGTAATGTCAGCATTAAAATATTAACAAACAAGACAAAGAGAGAGAAGGTGCTAGAAAGACAAATGCTCACTGTAAGCACCCACCACTACAGGAGGAAAGCAATCATGCACCAAGCTAATTCTGGACAACATATTTTGCTTTAACTGGTTCCTATTTGACTGATAAAATACAGGCCTACTGCTGATGTCCAGCCCTGCAGCTACGATAAAGGGCTTGGTGGGGTAGGATCGTGTTAATAGTCGTACATAGAAAGAATAGCCTCCCGATAACTGCACCTCTTTTGTCATGCATACAGTACAGACGACAGACTGACACATCGGTGGCCTTAATTCAAGCCTAAAAGGTTTACGTTAAACATGACAGCATCTTACTTTTGTCCGGGATATAGCTGCCTCGGTTCACCATAGCTGAGTCTGTCTGGAGTAACTGGCTCTCAGTGCAACCTACAAACCGGATATCTTCACACCACTCGGCCCACGTGTTTTCTGGTCAGCCGATATCACGTATAGACACAATAGGAGACAATGGCAAAAGACCAGTATGATTATCTGTGTGTTGCATGTTGATTCTTAGCACGATAACAAAGAGCGAACAACAACGTAATCAGTGAAAAGCACGATTTTAAATGCTATTTTATGGCCTGCACGGGGAGCTAGACAGACGACAGCGACACAAGCTGGACGCAAGGGGACAGTTTGCGATGCCAAAAATTACAGCATGAGTTTAAAGGTGAGGTTACATAAAGCACATTTTGTCATTACTATTACAATCATAGGTTGGTATTTTACCGCAGTATGCAGAAAATGGAACCCGATATACTTTTTTCTTTTTTTCAACCACGTACGCGACACATGTCACAGGTCTTAATGGTTTTAAAATAGAAAATAGACCGGGAACATGCAGCCTGACGCTCCTGCATGTTTCCTATTGTTGACCACTGCCAGCCTCACTGCCACTTTATTGTCCGGTGTTTTATAACCAGTGGGCAGAGCGCGAGAAAAAACAGCACTGACAACGGCGCTTTCCTGAACCCTGATTGGTCGCCCTTGTGCGCGGCGGGTGGGACGCTCGCATTTGATTGGCCGAACAGCTGTCACTCACCGGGCCGTTCAGGGCCTCGCGCTAGGCCTACTTTTCATACTTTTTCCTGCTGTGAACGAGCGGCGTGGAAACGTATTAAACTTCTCAAACTAACAAACCCCGCAGACATTTTTGAGGCCGCCGTTAGAAAGCAGACGTCCAGCACAAACACTCCGGCCACAACACAAATACAGCTACAAAACGCGCCAACAACAACATTTAGTAAGCTACTCCGTCACGTTTGTTTTGAACTCCAAAAGCCGACATGCGGCATCACACCGTCTACGCTGTTGATGCGTTCACATAACCGGGCCTCAGTCGCGATGTTACTGGACATTATAAACTCTGAAATGCTAAAGGCGGATGCGATTCGGGCTTCCTACCTTTTCTCCAGTCACTCCTTGTCCGGCTGGGTGTAAAATCTCCAGTGTAAATCCCTGAAAAGCGCAGGTACCGCCGCCTCCGCCTGTCTGCTCCGGATCACGCAGTTGAATTTCTTCCCGTTGCATTCACCACCGGCGCGGGCAGTGTGGAGCCCCAGTGCGCATGCGCGTTCAACGGCCTTGAGCCCTCGTGTATCTCAATAAGATTTCCTTAAAAATGTCTATGTGCTGCGTTTAAATGTCGAATTTGTATATATTTTTTTCAATTTAAGAAACAAAGCGACTTTTTGCTTAGAAATAATCTTGATCTTATAGACAAGTTTAATACCAACCTATTACGGGCCATAGATCTGTCTGTCTATCCATCTGTCCTAAATCTAATTCTAAATAAAACAATTCTGTACTGGGAAAATACTCTTTCATAGGCAACATATGTAATTTTAACCACCATTTTAATGTTGGCATGTTTAACAAGAAGCAAAATTTTGATTGATTAAAATCACTGCCAACAATTAATGGAGAACAATTAAATTATTGAGAATAATTAATTAATAATTAATAAAATAATAACTGAGAATTTAGTCAAAACAGATTAGCATTTCTTGTTTACCTAATGTAAATGTTGGAACAATTATATTTTACAATCCAATGATCTTTGTGAAAAGAGTTGATGCTGTAAATGTCCATGACCTTTATTGAACTTTGTGAGTGGGAGATAAGGACAAGATGTTCTGTAGTCAAAACACCATGACTACTGTGCCAAATCGCACCCATTTGCAGGAGGTTGTTTTCTGTTTTCTGTTCACTGTCTGTATGTATAACCAATGCTTCATGTATTTAGTCAGTCACTTGTTCAGAGTCTGTCCTGTGAATGTTGGCTCCTTGCTGCAAGTCAGACTTTGCTTTGACTTGAGAGACGACTCCGTGTGCTGGTTCAGAGCAGTCAGGACTCCACTGAAGAATTTTTCCTAACAGTAAACATGTGTGTTTTGCTAATTTGCTATTGCTTGAGGGATTGGGATTTAAAACTATGAGCTAAATGAATGAACAGCTGAGAGTTCACTCAACTCATAAAACTGAGTTCACAAGAGTCAAAACTACCAAATAAGCAGATTTCCCAGGATGCATTGTTAGAAAGTCAATATCCCCCAGAGGCTTATGTTTATAAGTCGTTTGAGCAAACAGACTTGATGGAAACCTGCTGTGTGTCATTGGTAAACTAAGCTGAGGGTGTTTTTTTTTTTTCATTCTTTAATAGCATGACAAAGGTTAGTGCTGGATTCAATCCCTACTGCAGCAGATCTATGATTGATCTGACTGATTTATGTTACATGAAAAAGGAGATTTTTAAAGTGTAAAAGGAAACATGTCTGTCTGTAACCACTGCCTATGTGACTACGTGATCTAACCTAATATATTACATGTGTTAAGCTCAACTAAAGTTAATGTAACTTGGATAGTTTTAAACTTTTGCAATTAATAAAATGACGTTGAACTAATTAACAGTTTTGTTTTTTAAGGGGGAACTTATTTATCTAAACTGATTTGATATGTATACATGTACTTGGTCTCTGATGTTTACAGTTTAAGTATAAACTCTATGAACAAATTAATAATAAACACAACTGATATACTGCTGTAACACTGCGAATCAAAGTTACTGCTCCTGTCCGTCACAGCTGTTTTCTGAATAAATTGCTGAAAGGAAAGTTGTTATTTTTATACTTTCTGCCACTGAGTTTGAAGGCAGGCTGCCTCTTGGGTTTATGTCCTCCTGCATCTGTTTTCTTCATCTTGTTTCAGCCCCACAGCCTGAGGCCAGAGGTCCTCTCCCCCCCTGCTGTCATGGTAACAGTGCCTGAGCAGCTCTTCACCTGTGGCAGACAGGTACATGATCGGCAGAGAGTGACAGAGGAAGCAGGTGGCAGTTTGTGTAGCGGTGTGCACAAAAAGACAAACAGCTGAATATGTACAGACGGGATGAGTGAGAGTGATGCTGTGTGACAGGAAGGGAAGAGGCTCGACCTGTTTGCAAACTCTCTCACCGGTGCAGATACAAAGGAAAAAGATTTTCATAACTCCCAGTAAATAGACCCATAAGAGTGGTAAATGTAATGTATTAAAAGCTGACTTGTGATGAGACAAACTGGTCATAATTGTCTGAATGTGAGTGGTTAACATGTTGCAAGTAAATCCTTCTACATCATCATATTCATATTGGAAAATCCTGGAAGATTGAGAGGGGTTGTTTCTGCTTTCAGTGGATCCCAACAGTTTGTAGTGCTGATTCAGAGCAATAAAGACATTTTGAAAAATACAGACCAAGAAAAATCTACTGACAATGATTCCCTAATTTAAAAAAAATAAAATAAATCAAATAATATTTGCACGTGATTAAAACGGGGCTGCAAGGTGGCGCAGTTGGTAGCACTGTTGCCTCGCAGCAAGAAGGTCGCCAGTTCATGTCCCGGTGGGGGCACCGGAATTCTTCTGCGTGGAGTTTGCATGTTCTCCCCGTGCAGCGTGGGTTCTCTCCGGGTTCTCCGGCTTCTTCCCACACAGTCCAAAAACGTGTTGAGCTTAATTGGTGATTCTGAATTGTCCGTAGGTGTGAATGTGAGTGTGCTTGTTGTCTGTCTCTAAGTGTAGCCCTGTGATAGACTGGTGACCTGTCCAGGGTGTCCCCTGCCTTCACCCTAAGTCAGCTGGGATAGACTCCAGCCCCCTGTGACCCTAGTGAGGATTAAGCGGTGTATAGATAATGGATGGATGATTAAAAAGGCTTGTTTTATAAAACTAAGGTAAAAGCTTAGAGATGGCGCTACTTTTGGTTAATTTTAAGAAATGTAAGAAATTTTACATCTGAAAAACATTATATTTCCCCCTAATATATTATATTGAAAATATGTGTCACATTCTACTTAATTCCATCCATCCATTATCTATACACCACTTAATCCTCATTAGGGTCGCGGGGGGGCTGGAGTCTATCCCAGCTGACTTAGGGCGAAGGCAGAGGACACCCTGGACAGGTCATTCTACTTAATTTATTAATGAATTTAGCATTCATCAGTACTTGCAGTAAATCATGAAATTGCATCTAAACTGACAAGTTTTTAAGGTCCTAACCCTCAAGCAGGACTATGCAGTTTTATTTTATGTATTTTAAGGGATCTTACTCCCTATAAAATCCTTAAGCTGAGAAGTTTACTGGAGATACAATAATGCTAATATATATATATATATGTACACACACACACACATATATATATACACACTTATACAAGCAAAATCTCAATGGTCACACTGATTTAGGTATTCCTCTATATTAAAGCCCCCCATCTAGTGAAAATCAAGTTTGCTTGTTTTTCACCTTGTTAGCATGTCTTTATGATGTTCTTTGTGTGCTGGAAGACACATCATGAGCAAACCAGTTAAAAAAAAAAAAAAACACTGATTCAGACTTCCTGAGTTTTAATATGACAAACCTAAGAAACTCGTCATCTTGCAGGGCGGAGTTTTCCATGCTCTTTCTTCTTCAGAATCAGTTTCCAGCTCAAACATGTATGGCTCAATTACTCCTGTATTACAACTTGCCACTGTGCAGCATAGAGTAGTTTTACAGAGCGCAGAGAGGAGGGGACTGCATAGATCCAGCATTCTTCAAGGAAGAAATGGTGGAGACTTACATATAAGTAAATTTAATGCACAAAGACATTAAACTTAATGGAAAAAAAAACCTAAATATGTGACTTTATCACACTAAAATCAACAATCAAAGACAAACTTTAAATGTTCTCTTCTGTGACCCATTTCGAAACCCTGGTTCCAGCTTCATGTTGTTCCGGCTCTCTCTTGTTAAATATCAAAGTAAAAGCAAAAAATATTCCCCCAAAATAAACGCAAGGCAATCTATGAACAATTGAACAAACCTTTATTTATGGACAGTCATTCCATATTATGACAAGAAGGTATGCAAACACACAATACACGCACATACATGGAAAGTGGTTTGAGTCATTCCTATGTTCAAAAGGCAAGCGGTTACAGCAGAGAAATAAACAGTTAATTACAAAAAAAAAAAACACTTTTTATTGCTCTTTACAGCAACAGTTAACTTCACCCATAACCTGATCATTAGAATATACTTAAAGAAAGGTAATACTATTTTACACGCAAAATTTATTTACATCGGCAAAGCCTGAGAGGGGACACAAAAAGCTCAATTTACATTCTCATAGTGCTCGACAGTTGAACAATACTCCATTCTCAGTACAGGGGTTTGTGTCAGATTAATCAAATTTTCAGTCTGTGAGACAGGCCATGTACAGTTTTCACATCCATCACCCGTTTTATCAAAAGACCTGAGCCAAGAAACATAACATACAGATCACAAACAAAAGAGAACACAGTTCCAATTGAAATATTTCTGATAGACAATAGCGAAAGAGTTTTATCAGCTGAACAACCAGCCTCCCACATCGCTACAACATAAACTGTAATTAGAGTTAACGCTCCCGTCTGGCTTCAGCGAGTGTTTAAATTTGTAAAATCAAAGCACTTCCATGTTTATTTGCTTAGAAAATCACCACCATCCGTTAGAAAGAGCTTTCTGCACATCCTTTCAGCTTGTGCTTTGAAATGAAGGCTCTGTACTCTGTCAAAATAGCTGTGGCGGTGCAGCTTTTTGTTTCTCGTAAAAAGAAATACGAGGAGACCAGCTATCAGTACAACTACTCAAAACGGCACAGGCAAGCTTATTAATAAGACACCATTACAAGAGTTCTTTTACTTTTCATACTTTCAATTTTCTGTACATGATAAAAGAAAGCTGTGTCTTTTGTTCTCACGCTGACAATCACACACACACACACACACACACAAACACACTTGAATGAAGTCAGAGAGCCAAAAACAAAGAAGCAGAGCGTCAACACTGCTGCCTTAAGATTTTTTTTTTTTTTGTGCAAGTGAATACTTCTGAAGTAAATACTGCAAGACTCTCACTTTGCACAGCCCAGTCATCTAATGTATCTGTATTATTACCCATTCAGTAAGAAAAAAAGGGTAAATCTGTTTTCACATGCG